ACTCTTTGTTTCTACTATTAAATTGGGAAAATCTTTCCCGTTCTATACCAGTAAACCAAGACCCTTACAGTAAAACCCGACCTTTGGATCTTTTTGTCCGAGCCCCGAGTTGGTCCAATTCACATAGAATGAAAAAATGTAAATCACTTGTAAATGTAAAATAATAATACGTTAAAATGATTAGGTCGAGGGGGGAAGTTAACCTTTATACCACAATGTTATTTACCAAAAAATGGTTGGCAAACCCCTCTGGTGTCTCATATTGAATTCTGATTCAATTGAATTCTTAGATTTGTCACGTCTCTTCAGGAATTGGAGTGGGCTCGACACTACATAGTCAGAAGAGTCAGGCTGTCCTCTCCCTGTAAGAGGTGGATACAACTAACTTTATCCGAGTTGTAATATAGGCAATCACGGCCGACCGATTTCGTGGTCTTACTTGATTGTTTGTTTACATGTGTCTATTGGCTTCACGCGTCGCGAGTAGAGGAGAGAGAGAGTGGTGTGTGTGCTGAGTGGTCTTGTGTTTATTTTTTTTACTTATCTTTGTGTCCCTGGTTAACTCCCGAAATTATACCTAGGACAATTACTTTCACCGGTACAGCCCGTCCGGTGTAGTACTCTGTCGTCAGTGGGAGACACTCCGTCTCAGTCTGGTAGTAAACGCGTCCAACGCAAGTGTGTATGTAGTGTTTGTTGTTTTAGGAGTCGGTCGCCGGTGAAGTCGTGCCGGTCCGGTAGCCTTTGTAAGGGCCAGGGGCTAAGTCAGGCCGGGACAAGGTCCACCAAATTGAATATACTGGTTTGTCGGGTCAGAGTTCTGGTACTGCTATATTGTAAGTCGGATAGGTATAAACTGTTGTTTTTTGACTCAAACCTTAATCGTTAAATAAAGTTTGTGTTTACAGCAAAGAATTTGTAGAGGGGTCATAAATTAAAAAAAAGAAAATTACATACCTTAATATTGTTTTCAATTTTTTTCTGTGGAACACAAATAAAAAGACAAAAAATACGAAGGATTGCCAGATAAAATAACTACGCGGAAATGGACTACATACCTATGTTTTATTGACCGTCCCCTTCCTTATATACAATCTAACGATTCAACGTGATTGAGAGAGAAGAAAAATTTAAGATAAATGAGGTGTCTACAGTGAAGTGACGTTTCTGA